TCTACTATTGAAAAAGAAATAACCAATTATGTTACCATAGTCTCGAGTTCATCAGAATCTCAATGTGAAGTTAAGCAAACTGATGATTCAATTGGGGATCAAGTAATTGATAATGTTCCTAAAGCGTTTGTTGTGGATACCTCTGATAAAATTGAAAAAATGGTCGTAACTGATAATGATCCAGCTCATAAAATCGTTGCTAATGAGGCCGTGACTGAAAACATTACCCATGATAACCAAAATACTGAAATCGATCAAAAATTAGAAAGTGAAATCTCTATTAAAAATGAATCGTTTCCTAATCTAGTTCACGACGATTCAAATATTTTCAAAACTAAAACAGTCCACGAATCTCAAACTCACGAAGAGTCTTTGACAACAGAGTTATCCAAGATTCATGAACATAGCATTCCCACCCCTGACCTAATAGATGATCCTACTACGACTTCTGACAGTTTGGTGAATAACACAAACGGTGAAGAGCCTACGACTTCTGACAGTTTGGTGAATAACACAAACGGTGAAGAGCCATACGAGAAAAAGATCGGAAATTCGTATGAAACCATTTTCAAAGAAACTAACGACGAAACAACCGCAATGCACAAAATTTCTCTAATTGATTCTTCCCAGCATGAAGAAAAAATTGCAACCGTTGATACTAAAACAATAGAAGAAAAAAATACCGTCAACGAAATAATTGATAAACCTATTAAAACGGTTGAACCAACTTTCCAAGATAAGCAAGGGTCAACCAATGATCTGGTTTACACTACCAACTTTGAAGCGTTAGATAAAACTGTTAAGACGTTTGAACAAACTTTCCAAGATAGGCAAGGGTCAACCAACGATCTGGTTGACTCTACTAACTTTGAAGCGATAGACAAAACTGTTAAGACGTTTGAACAAACTTTCCAAGATAGGCAAGGGTCAACCAACGATCTGGTTGATACTACTAACCTTGAAGCGATAGATAAAACTGTTAAGACGTTTGAAACAACTTTCCAAAATAAGCAAAGGTCAATCAACGATTTGGTTGACACCAACAACCGTGAAATTGAAGCTACCTTAAAGGATTCTATTGAAAAAATCGGAAAACACCTTGAGTCAACATCCATTACTGATCCCTCTTCTATGTCGCCATATAATGTTTGCTTTTCTTACAAAAAAGACGACATAAATGTTATTTGCATTGATGATAACCTTCGCGTAAAAATCGAAAGATTAAGTGCAGACATTGCAAGGGTATATTTTACGGATATTCAAGATATTCAAGTTCCTATTCCCGCAACCATTACTTTTTGGGATCTTTCAAATAATCAAGCATTGTTATCATTTAATAATAATTTTATTATTACCTGGATTTCAAATTATGCAATGTATCAGGGTGGAATTGAAATTTTTCGATTAGAAAGACCAAAGCAACAAACAATTGAGACAACCCTTACAACATATGTAATCCATTGATTCTATCGATATTATGAATTTATTAAAGGCGAGGGAATATGTAAATTATACTTTCTTTTAGTAC